ATATATACATATATACATATGCATATGTATATGTCTATATATATATATGTATATATGAATAAGTATATATACATATACATTAACATATATGTATATATATACATACATATATACGTATATATATATATATATATATATCAGCAACTAGGATACTGGAAAATAGTAACCCATATAAGATCTTAGTCATACCCCAAAACTTACTTCGATCCGAAATACCCTATATATCACTACTATCGATAACCTTGTGGAGGTCTTGTTGCCATGGCGAGAACAAATGACTGACCTAAACGAATTACTACGCGCACACAGTGAATGGCGGGAGCTAAGGACAGAGCCGTAAACAATTTAATGTATGTTCACAATCGAGCCTTAACCACGTTAGGCTTAACCACACTCACATGTGCATGTGATGCATAAGCACACTTCAAGCGCAACACCCCACAGCACTTCAAGCGTAACACCCCACAGCTCTCAATACATTGACGACGTAGACTGTATTCCAACACATGTGCATGTGATGCATAAGCACACTTCAAGCGTAACACCCCACAGCTTTCAATACGTTGACGACGTAGACTGTATTCCAACACGTGTGCATGTGATGCATAAGCACACTTCAAGCGTAACACCCCACAGCTCTCAATACATTGACGACGTAGACTGTATTCCAACACATGTGCATACGTCTGCGATGTGTTCCCTCTCGCCGTCTTTCAGAGGCACTGTGATCTTGGACGCCTGGATTTGTGGGGAGACCCCGGTGAGAAGACAATGGGATAAGTCAGCTAGATAGTAAATATCAGGTGATGAGGTGTACATGAAAGGATAAGTCAGCTAGATAGTAAATATCAGGTGATGAGGTGTACATGAAAGGATAAGTCAGCTAGATAGTAGATATCAGGTGATGAGGTGTACATGAAAGGATAAGTCAGCTAGATTGCAGATATCAGGTGATGAGGTGTACATGAAAGGATAAGTCAGCTAGATAGAAGATATCAGGTGATGAGGTAATGATGAGGTAATGTAGCGTCACCAATCTCAATCAACATACGACACTAATTGAAATTGGTCACGCTATAGGACGTAGTGTACGATAGATTTCTGCTGTTGATGAAGAAAGACTCCACAATTCACTGATGGTCCAGATGGATGTTTGATTATTCTGAACGGTGAGTATATATATACATATATATATATATATATTATACACACACACACACACACACACACGCACACACACACACATATATATATATATACATATATATTGCCATTTTCACAAACACTTGCTCGCACACATACACAGAAATACACATACAACACATATTCACAAACTCATACACAGACAATCTACCACAAGGTATGTTTGACTGCTACATATCGATATTTTTAGCATGTGCTAGTTAACATACAACATACCGAAACACTCCGCTTGGGCGAAAATTGGGGACTATATTGGTCCAATATATTGTCGTCAAGTGCACTGCCCTCTTTGATAGACATAGACCGCATAATATTTTGGACATTCAGAGATTTGTAGTAGTCCATCTTTCCATCGAAGTCAAAGGATTCCGTTAACGATGCTCGGGTCTGTCACAGTGTTTATCATGGGGACAGTATGGTACTGAAGATCAGTATATGGCACATATTATGGACTTGGGAGGACATCAGTAGCGAATACTGAATGGATCACAGGGTGGTGTGCTAAGTGATCGCTGACTACAATGAGTAATGGTTGTAGCGGTTGACAGACCCTATCTATAACCCTGTGAATATGTATGTCTTGTTGAATCTATGTGTGCCTGTATATGGGTATGTCTGTATATGTGCCAATATGTGCGTGTGCTTGAGTGAGGGTGCTTTTGCGCATGTGAGCATGTCTATGTATATATGAAACAGAACATTCCCAGCTTACATGTTCATTCTATATATAGACTGTTATTCGCATGTACCGGTACAAAAATATACATGCATAATACATAATAACAATTACACATACATTACACACATACACACATACACACAAATACATTATACACATACACAAGAATACACATACAATATACAATATACACATGCACATACACATGTATATGTATATATATATATAATATATATATATATATAATATATATATATATATAATATATATATATATTTATATAGATATATATATCTATATATATATATCTATATATACATATATACCTATACACATATTCATCCCCACCTTCGAGTTATTCTGTCGATGCCCTCCTGGTAGGGTGTCTGAGTGTGCCAAACGCTTCTCGCTGTCTGTGCTCATGCGGTGGTCCTTGGGAGATGACTTTGATTTGAATACGTCGATTGAAGGTGTGTTTCTCAGTACTGCATTCATTGTTCCTGTGGATGCTCTCGCGCGATAGTCGGGTTTTGATGGCCGTATCCGAGGATCGGGATCTTCGTCGTCGCTTGTAATAAACTGTGTGGCAAGGGTAAGAGGGGTAGGGACGAGAAATTAGGTTTTGATGTAGGGTTTAGGGTTGAGGATTGTCGTTACCTTTATCCGGGGATTTAACTCTTCGTCGTCGCTTGTATTGAACGATGTGGCAAAGAGAAGGTGGCTACAGAATAAAAATTGGGTTCTGATGTAGGGTTTACGGTCTAGGATTGCCGATATCTGTACCGGAGGTTCGGATCTTCGTCACCACTAGTGATGAGCTATGTATATGATGTTATCATGGTTGAGAACTAAACCGTGTACTCATTTTAAGAGTATTTCGGCTCCAACGTTTAAAGTGATCGATATACCTACTCGAGCACGTGCGGGATGTGAGTCGGTCAGAATGGCGCTGCCCATGTTTCGACATATAAGCTTGTTGCTTAGTATGACTATGACTGGTTTAATATTAGCAACCTATACTTTGAAGACGTGAACGGACATTAAAGTGCACGCGCAACTACAATGCCTCGGCGATGATATGTTTATAGAGAACGGTGAGCGGATAGGCATGCCCACCGACGGACAATAGCAGTCCATAAGATACAATCAAAAGTATTGTATGACACACACACACACACATGTATATATATATATATAATAATATATATA